ATTACGTACAGCCCCCCCCAACCGCTGTCATCCCTCCCTCCCCCCCCTCTCTCTCCCTCCACTACACCCAACTCAGTCCCTCCCCCCCCCCTCTATCCCTCAAGCATTCATGAGCAGACAGGGGTGGATGCAGCAGTCGCACACAGGGCTCGTGACGGGGGTCTTTGTCCTTGCCCTGGCCCTGGCAGCCGCGCCAGTCGTCTTCTGGCCGCTCGGTGGCGGGGTGCCCGAGCCGGCTGCCGAGACCCTGCATGGCGTACTGTACGGCCATGGCCTGCTGACAGTGGGAGAGGTCAATGGCACGGCATCCGGTCCGTATGCGCTGTTGCTGCATACTATGGGCAAGGCGATGTCGGTGCCGGCGCTGGAGATGGACAAAGCCATGGTGTACGCTGCCGTCCGCGTGGCGCAGATGGTGGTTGTCACCGCCGCACTTGTCGCCGCCGTCTCATCCATCGTTGTCCTCCCGCTCGCCGGCGTGGTGGTTGTACTGTTTGTCACGGGCGTGGCGTTCAACGATGTCATTCTTGCTGCAATGACGAGCCTTGACGAGGGCGCGCTGGTGCTGGCGCTGGGCGTGCTGGCGCTTGCCGGCTTTCTTACCTTTGATGTCAAGCTGTACGCGGCGTGCTCGGTCCTCGCTGCGTTGCTCTCACCAGCGTACACTGTGCTCCTCGCGCTACAGCTGCTGAGCATGTACATTGGCCTCGAGCCGCAGCGGTGGCACAAGATGTGGGCCACGCCGCGGTCGACCTGGCTCTCGCCGATCTGCTTTGGCGCGTTAATGGTGATCGGCGCCGACACGGTGGCCACCGGCGCAACCGACAAGCTTGCGTGGTTCTCGTGGTATGGCAAGCTTGCCTTTGGCTACACCGTTCCCGCCGAAGCATTTGTTGACGGCTCGCAGCCGACGATGACCGAGCTACTGTTTTCGGGCAACACGGCGTGCGTCTCTGTCCTGTTTCTGGCGAGTATCGCGCTCCTCCCGTATTTTGGCCCGCGGTGGTGCATTCCGGTTCCTTACCTGCTCTGGGCAGCTGCACTGAGCAGCTGGCCGAGTTATGCGATCGGGCACGCCGCGCTTGTAGTCTTTGTAGCTGTTCTCACCGTTGCCATCAGCGTCACCGACATGCTGTGGAGAGTGGTCCTCTCGCGCAGCAGCGCAGCGGAGGCCAGCGACGGCGATAGCGAAGGCCAGGGGGTGTTTGGCGCGCCGCCGGCGCGGCGGCCGCCGCAACTGCGCAAGGCCAAGAGCTTCAAGCGGCGCAAGCCGCGTGCGGCCGGCTCGTCGTCTGCGGGCTCGTTTTGCGGCTCACGCGAGGGCGCTGTCCGGCTCATCCTCGCCGTTGCTGGGCTGGCGTATGTCGGCACGCTCCTTGCCGGCGTCCTGCTTTCGACGAGCGCGTCGGCTATGGCGCAGAACGAGTTCTTTGCCACCAAGCTACCGCGTGCGCTAGCGGGCGCGTCGCGCTCGAGCCGCGGCGACGCGTGCGCTACCAACATCGAGAGCCCTTCGTGGCTCCTACCAGCCACATGCAAGACGCCGGTAGTGATCAGCCTTGGTGAGCCGCTGTACCCGACGTACTACGCCGAGGTGGTGCGGGCACGGGCGGCCCCGCAGCCGCACATGGCGCGAATGGTGCTGCCGTTTGAGGTAGGATCGCAGTACGCCAAACTGTGGACAACCCGCAGTTCCGCGGAGGCGGTGGCGCTACCGGAAGAGCTCGCGTTCGACAGCTTCGACGAGGCTGCGATCGCCGAGATGATGGCGGAGACGAGCACGAGCGCCGCAGGCGTTGACCCTCAATTTCTCGTCGCGCCGCCGTCGGCACGGATGCGGATCCACACCATGGGCCGCGGCGCCGCCGGTGGCACCGGACGCGAGGTCGAAGAGGTGGAGCGGGTGTTGCGCCTGGCGTCGCCGCAGCGGGCGGCGGCCGCGCTCCGTGACGTCCAGTTTTTGGTTCTCCACGACCATGCTGCACCGCGGACAGCAACACCTTCGTTGCGCGAGGCGCTCGCGTACGCCGCGCTCGAGGGCATCAACACGACCGCCATTGTCGACACAGACGCCGACGCCGTGCCGTCGCTCGAGCTTCTGCGGTGGCACGCTGCGCTCGGCGCCCATCTCACCACACACTATGAGCTGGTGGCACAGGCGCTTGCAGCGGCGCCGGCCCCGATGGCGAGGAAGGACGAGCCTGGTGTCGTTGCCTCGCAGCTCTGGGTTGCCAAGCAGTAGTAGCCAGTAACAACCAGCAACAACCAGCCGCCACAGTAGATTACTCGCCGCGCCGGCGGAGGTCCGAGGTCGCGGCTGGCGGCGCCGCGGCTGTGGCGCGGATGACGCCATCGGGATGGACAGGCGACACACTGGGGAGCTCAACCACGGCCGGAGCAACCGGCGAGCTGTCGTCGCTGGCTGACGAGACGTTGTCAGAGTCTGTCGGCGGGGTGATGATCGGGCGCGGTGTCGGCGTCGGCGTCGGCGAGCGTGAGTGGAAGCGGGGTGTGACGGCCACCGGCTGGGCGGTGGAGCGCGAGGCCGGGCGCACAGAGGCGGCAGGATGGCGAGCCGCCGAGTGGGAGGTCGGCGAGGCGAGGCAGGCAAAGAGGATGAGCTTGAGAACAAAAAGAAAGATAAGCTGGTAGATGACTAGGGTGGCGACGCCGATGGCGTACGAGGTGTAGAACCAGTGGTACATAAAGTAGCGGAGGCCCGAGAAGCGGGCGACGATGAACAGCTTGGCATCGTAAACCTGCAGCGGCGCCGAGAGCCCGACAACGGCCGCGACGACCGGCCCGGCGTCGGCGTCGTCGACGTACGCCTCGAGCAGCGGAATGGTCAGCTCCTGGGCCTCGTCCAAAAGACGAAAGGTAAGCGGGAGAATGTAGAAGATGCGGTAGGCGAGGCGGACGAGGCGCGATCGAAAGTGCAGGATGCCCGGCCGCAGCGCAGCCGCTAGACGCGGGCCGTAGCTGGCGCCAGCCGCGGGAAGACTCGGGTCGTCGAGGGCGGGCCGGCCGTGGAGCGAGCATGAGACCATAAACGTGCCGAGATCGAGGTTGTGCGGCGACTCGGGGACGCGGAGAACAAGCGCTATATCATAGGCTTGACCGGGACGCAGGAGGCGGGTGGCTGGGTCCGGGACAAGCGGCACATCGGCGCGGGCCGAGTACGGCGTGCCGGGTGGGAGGAGGAGCTGCGGATACTCAAAGTAAACCGGGTTGCCATGCGAGACTTGCGGAATGTACAGGTAGTAGAAGGTCGAGTATGTCCAGAAGGCAGTGGCGGTGACAAAGGCAAGGACGATGGCGTAGATGGTGGCGTAGACGGCGAGCAGAACCACCCGCGACGCAGCCGTCTGTAGCCACGCCTGTGCCTCGGCTTGCCCAGGTACGAGCCAGTGGAGTCCGGTCTGCTCAGCCACCCAGTTCCCAGCACGCCGAGCTCTCTCTTGCACAGCGCGCATGGTGTGGGAGGAGGAAGGGGTGGGTGGGGGAGCAGCTCAGGTTAGGGCTGGGAAGGAAGGGGTGTTTGGCCGAGGCTGGCTGCCCGAGTGGTGGCGTGGCGGAAGCCGCTTGTGCGACCGGACCAGCATTCGTTCATTCGTTCCGTTGCGACATGTCGCAATCTTCGGGGAAGGAACAAAAGGGAGACGGTGGCGGGGTGCGACCATCATTGTTGTTGTTTGGTATCTTGCATTCAAAGTGACGAAATAGCGGTTACCCCTCTCGCTCGCCACTATGCAGATTTTCGTGAAGACCCTGACCGGCAAGACCATCACCCTCGAGGTGGAGTCTTCGGACACCATTGAGAACGTCAAGACCAAGATCCAGGACAAGGAGGGTACGTTCTGAACCTGGTCTCCCTGCTTCTCCTCTTCCTACCGTCTTGCCCATGCCCTACTCGCGGCTTTGGAAGGCGACCTGTGACTTTTTTTCGCTTCGCCCGCCGGAGGCCTTCCAACTGCCCCTTCCCGCCGCCACACTCACACCCACCCTCCCCCGTCGTGTTCCTCCTCTCCACCGTAGGCATCCCCCCTGACCAGCAGCGCCTCATCTTCGCTGGCAAGCAGCTCGAGGACGGCCGCACCCTCTCGGACTACAACATCCAGAAGGAGTCGTAAGTTGCTAATCGTCGCCAGCCAACGGCTCGCCCAATTGGGCCATTCGGCCATTCGGCCATTCCGCCCACTGGGACCGCCACACTTTCGCCCATTCCCATCTGCCCCCCCCCCTGCCCTCTCCCTCGTACTGCAACTCACCTCCCCCTCTCACTTTCTCGGCTTTCATACCACAGGACCCTCCACCTCGTCCTCCGCCTTCGCGGTGGCATGCAGATCTTCGTCAAGACCCTCACCGGCAAGACCATCACCCTTGAGGTCGAGTCGTCGGACACCATCGAGAACGTCAAGACCAAGATCCAGGACAAGGAGGGCATCCCGCCTGACCAGCAGCGTCTGATCTTCGCTGGTAAGCAGCTCGAGGACGGCCGCACCCTCTCGGACTACAACATCCAGAAGGAGTCGACCCTCCACCTTGTCCTCCGCCTCCGCGGTGGCATGCAGATCTTCGTCAAGACCCTCACCGGCAAGACCATCACCCTTGAGGTCGAGTCGTCGGACACCATCGAGAACGTCAAGACCAAGATCCAGGACAAGGAGGGCATCCCCCCTGACCAGCAGCGTCTGATCTTCGCTGGCAAGCAGCTCGAGGACGGCCGCACCCTCTCGGACTACAACATCCAGAAGGAGTCGACCCTTCACCTCGTGCTCCGTCTCCGTTGAGCATCCCCCTCTCGCGTTTGCGAAAGGCCATTTTTGGCGAGAATACATGATAACCCCATAGTTTTCCCTCTCCTTTCAACCGCAACAAGCAGCCCGAACCGCCATCGCGATGCATGCACCCGCCCACTATCGAGTCGTCGGCCAAAGGCCGAGTGCCCGTGCCGCCCCACCAACGGCCTCTCCCACCACGCCACCCCCCACCACGTACACGCACCACCCAACTTGCACCACGTCCGGCTTCCTCTCACCCATTCACACACACCATGCACACACGCCCCACTCTTCCTGGCAGGCAGCGGCTGTGGGTGGCAGCGGCTGTGGTCGTCGCCACCGCACTCCTCAGCAGCGGAGTCAGTGGCCAAACACCTTGCGCCGAGCGCAAGTCGTGCCAGTCATGTACAACAGTCCACTCTGCCACTGACACGCTGTGTTCATGGTGCGGATCGTACTCGGCCGGTGAGTGTGTGGCGGCCAATGCGCTCTGCCCGCGGTCCAAGGAAGCGCTGACACGTAGCGGTGGCACGTGTCCGCCGTCGCCGCTCACGATTGTCCTCCCGATTGTGATCCTCTACTCAGTTCTCACCATCGCCATCCTCATCCAGCACGCGTGGGAGGTCAAGTTCAAGCGCGAGCCGGTGGGCGATGGCCCGTTGCACAACTTTGATCACATGGGCACCCGTGACTCGGCACTTGTCCGCACCATGGCCGAGTCTGAGGAGATCGAGTTCGCCGACTACGAAAGCAGGCGTGACTCCAACTCGAGGTTTGTGACGCTGCTGTCACTGGCGTCTGGTGCTGTGCTGATGGTCATCATGTTTCAGGAGCGGATGGGTCCGACCGCGCTTGTGTTTTCCGTCTCTTTCCTTGGCTTCCTCTCGTTCTCACTCGTCACCAAGGCGCTCTCCAAGCCACGCATCTACATCCTGACTCAGGAGCGCGCGGTTGTGTGCCGGCCCAAGTGGTGTGGTGTGTGGGGCCGCGTGTGCAAGGTCTATCTCCCGCGCGAGATGCGGTTTGTCTCGGTCCGCTCGTACCGCGATGGCCTGGGCTCGGTCTTTTTCACCACCGAGGACGGGCACGACGATAGCCCCGAGGCCATGGAACGCATCACCGGCTTTGACAACATCCGCCGCGCCGAAGAGGTCTATCGCCTGCTCGCCACATGGCGGGCTCAGCACCGGAGCGAGGCTCCACCGACCGTCGTCAACCGCTCGCCGCAGAAGAAGCCGAGCGTGGGCGAGCGGGTGCAGACGCTGATCACCACCGTGCTCTTTGTCGGCTTCTTTGGCGCCTTTGCCGTCCTCTTCCTCACTGGCGACGAGAACGGCTCGTACCTGTGGTACATTTGGGTCCTTGTCCCGTACGCCATCATCTGGCTCGTCTGCTTCATCATCTGGGCCCGCTACCGGCTCGCTCTCAAGCGGCGGCGATCGCAAGGCTTTATGATTCTTGACACGGCCTTTTCGCCGGCATTGATGCCGGGCGCTCCCGCCGTCTTTACCAACGGCGGCTTTGGGCCGGCGTCGGTGTCTGATGATGAGTCGGCAACGCTGTCGTCGTCGAGCGTCTCGGTGCTCCATGACGTCCACCTTGAGGTTAAGCCGGGCGGTGAGCCGACGTCTGCCGTCAAGGTGCCACCGGTCCCGGGCCCAGCCGGCCAGCCGCTCCCGCCGGTTCCGGCCGCGCGCTCGCGATCGGGAACCCGCGACTCGACCTCGTCATGCAGCTCGAACTCTTTGTAGCCAGCTGGCAAATACATCTCATTGTGTCGCAGATGACCGCGCTGTGGCGGCGTGGTACTTGGCCTCTTCAGCCTCGGCCTCGGCAGCCTTGTCGGCGCGGGCGAGGAGAGCCGTGAGCGCACGGATCTCACGGTCGTGCTGCCGATGCTTGTCGTGGAGCTCCTCGATCTCGGAAGAAATGCCCTCGGCGGTCTGCTGAAGCTGGTCAAGCTGCGCCTCCTCTAGTGCATTGACGCGGGCGGCGAGGAGCGAGTGAACCGGCGACGACGTGGCGGCAGCGGTAGTGAGCAGGTGGGCAAAGGCCGGCGAGGGCGAAGAGAAGACAAACTGGTCAAAGGTCTCGCGGAGAACAGGCTTGGACTGAACGATCTTCATGCCGCCGTCGTCGAGCTCAAAGAGCTTGAGCATGTGGTACATCTCGACGGGCTTGAGCGAGACGTCGCGGAAGTAGACCTTGATGATGATCTCAAACTCGCCCCAGCCACGCTCCTCGATCTGGAACGGGTACGAGGTCACCGTCCGCACAGGCTCGGGAAACGAGGGATGCAGATGAAACTCGACCTTGCGGACGTATGCCGCCATGTCCGAGCCCACGCCACGGACAAAGGCGCACCATCGATGGGTAAACTCCGAGGTCACCTCGTCACCGAGCCACACCGCCACCGTCCCGTAGACAAACGACTTTGAGATGCGCTGTGGTTCCATATTGGCCTGTATGTATATGTATGTGTGTATGTATGTGTGTGTGTGTGTGTGTGTGTGTGTGTGTGTGTGTGTGTATGTGTGTGTGTGTGTGCGTATGTGTGTGTGTATGTGGGAGAAGTGGTGGTGAGTGTTGGTGGGTGTGGTGGGTGTGGTGGTGGTGGAGGGTGTGGTGGTGATAGTGCTGCTCTGCTGCCACAGCCTGG